TTGGCGTTTGATGATGGGAAGAGCTTTACGGACATCATGACGGAGTGGGTGAAGGAGCACTGGGCTAAAGATGGAAAGTGTGAGGTGTGAGAGGGCTGTAAATCGTGGGAATGTCGCTACGCTCGTTGCAGTGTACATATTTGCCTCGCCCGGATATCGTTTGTAGGACAGTCGAGCATGAAACAACAAGCATATGACACCATTCACGCATGTCAGTTGGGGTACAGGCATCCGGTGTTCTGGCATGGCAAGCACAGGACATGTACCAGTTATATTGAGCGTCTAACAAGCCCAACGTGATCTCGCGTTGGTCTCGCGCTTTGTGTCCCAAAACGTCCAAGTTGTGCTTCGAAAAAGGTCTCTCGGTGCAAACCCAATATCTTCCACCGTAAAAACGCCGTGCCATGAAAATGCATGCCTGACCTAAACTCCAAGTTGTTCGTTTACATCGTCTGTCGACTACCGGCCTCCTCGGGCAGCGCGTGCCTGCTCTCGTTCGCTGGCGTTGTACCTAGGAGTTATGTTAGCCCCTGACCGGAACGTGTTCATGATGGCCGTTGTTGCCCCCGCTGGCGGCGCTTCTCTGCAGCTATATTGGCGTGCTCGGAGCTGGGTACGTACTTGAGCAGCTTCTCAATCAGATCGACGTGGGTGAGGATCATGCGGCGGCAGCAGTAGCGCTGGAGACCGACACTGTCGAGCGCTTCGCTAGAGAGCCAGGTAGGTTAGCGGAGGGTTTAGAAAGGCAGCGTAACATGCGCATGTGCAGTATGACCGTCTTCTGGGACAGAAGTGGCTTCAAGAGGTCATGGAAGGTGGATGGAGGGCGAGAAAAGATAGATGGCGCTTACGCTTCTTCCATGCCGTCGCTAAGAAGTCCCATGTATTTCTCCCAAAGGTCTCCGGTGACCTGAGCATGGTCAGTGTATGCGCGCATGAGCTCGGAGTAGTGGTGATGGTACCTTGCCGCAAGAAAAGCAACGGATAGGAACAATCATTTTGGAGGGTTGGAGTATGAGCGACCCGTGTGGATTTGCGCGACTGGGACAAGGTGGCCGAGAGAGGGAGGGCAAAACTAAAGCGAGGTCGTGGTGGTGCTTAGCCGTCGCGATACCATCTCAAAGAAAGTTGCGGGCGCGCTAAGGACGCGGGCGGTGAAAAGCTCGGGCCAGGTCCATCAAAAAAGATTCTCAAGATACACCTTCCCGGCCATGACCATTACGACAATCTTCGCCGTTTGTGAATTTATACGCCTAGCTCACCTGGAGGAGTCGCTATCATGGCCGACGCAACTCCCCAATTAAAACGAAAGAGAGAGGAAGCCGCGGCGCAGAAGAAGGCGAAGAAGCAGAGAAAAGACGAGGCGGCTGCGGCTGCGCTCAAGGACAGTCGCAACAGCGAACCCGCAATCCCTGCGACCGATTCCACGCCCAAATCGAACAAGACGCCTACGCCGAAGAAGCAATCCAAATCGACGCCGCAGACAAACGGTGCGAACAATGCGCAAAAGGCCAAGAAGTCGCAACCACAGCAGAATGGGTCGGTCGACCAGGTTGAAACGCAGACGGCTGTCGCAACAACCAACGGCGCAGACGAGGACAAGCCACAGGCTGCTTCCAATGCGGTGGACAAGGCGGAACGCAAGAAGGTGAAGAAGGAAAGGAAAGAAAAGAGCAAGAAATCAGAGACCTGGGTTACCTCTCCCCCGCAAGGAGGATGGTACCTCTCCGCGGATCCCGTATTCTCCAAGGATGAGAAGTATCTGATCATTGCGGACCTCAAATCGCTGCGTGTCTACGATGCAGACACGTCTTTGCTTGTCCACTCGCTATGCGAGGTCGACACGGGAGTCCTCACTACCTATGCGCTCTCCTCGGTAGCACCTCACCTAATCTACGTCGCCTACCCTGGACAAATCATAATGTGGGACTGGGTAGCTGGAAGAAAAGTCGCGCAATGGTTCACCGGCTCCACCGTCGAGAACATGACCGTCATCACCCAGCCCGAGTCCGACGAGGACTTTGTGTACTGCCACGAAGCCGAGGATGGCCACAGCCTCATTATCCGTGCCCTTCGTACCAACCGCCAGGATTCGTTGGAACTCAAACAGGTGCTCAACACAGGCTCTGCGATCCGCGACGTTCAAGTGCTTCTACAGGGCAAATACGTCGTCGTCGCGACCGCCGATTCGCTGATCGTTGGGAAACGCATCAAGGTCACCAAGACAGCTCTCCACGACTTCGAATACGTCTGGCGCGAGCTGAAGTTCTCCAAGCAGATTACTACTTTCAGCGTCTACCACCGCGAGCAAGAGACTGGCAGTGCGAAGAAGGTTGCGCAGGATCAGAGAGACGTCCTTGATATTGCCGTTGGCGAGGAGACCGGTCTCATCCTCCTATTCGAGGACATCCTGGCCTCGTTTGCTGCGATTGAAAGCAGCCAAAAGGGCAAGAAGGACAGGTCGGACAAGGATAGCGCTGAGAGCTTAAGACCCAAGCGACTTCATTGGCACAGAGACGCGGTGGGATCCGTCAAGTGGTCATTAGATGGCAACTACCTCATCTCCGGCGGCGATGAAACTGTTCTCACAATCTGGCAACTTGCCACCGGACAACCACAGCATCTACCTCATTTGTCAGCAGCTATCGAGAACGTCGTGGTTTCTCCTACGGGCTCGGCTTATGCCCTGACGCTAGCAAACAACTCCGTCATTGTCCTGTCTACGACTGAGCTCGAAGCGCGGACTAACATCGTTGGTCTTCAATCTCGACGAGTCGACCCTGAACAGATGCCCAAGGAGACAAAGTCTGGCAAAATGTATCTTGGCATTTTCGATGCAGTACCCCTAGCTGTAAACCCTAAGAACCCGAGCGAAGTATCGTTTCCCGTACCTTCATCACAACCTCGCCAGAAGAAGGGAGGTCTGAGGCGGCCCGAACCATACCTGCAAACCTTTGACCTTGCGAACCAGCGCGCCAAGGGACGACAGGCATTGACACGTAATAACGCCACAGAGCCTAATGTTGCTCCTGACGGCGGCCAGATCAAGGAGCCAAATGTCACACATGTTCAAGTCAGCCATGACGGAGAATGGCTTGCAACGATTGACGAATGGGTTCCGCCAAAGTCGGACACTCGTTACCTGAATGAAGGCATTCCTGAGTTCAACGAGCAAGAACGTCTCAACCGCCGCGAAGTATACCTGAAGATCTGGCGACGCGACAGCACCGGACAATGGAAACTGGAAACCCGTATTGATGCGCCACATTTCTTTGAAGACAGGTGCGGTAACGGCCAGGTCTTTGATCTCGTCGCTGACCCTGCCGCTGCTGGCTTCGCGACTGTCGGTGAAGATCACGTTGTACGCATATGGAGACCCAAGACACGGTCACGCGAGGGAGTTGTCGTCCGTGGGGCTCAGCAGGAAGGTCTGGTCACCTGGTCGCTCGATCACGCAGTGGAAATCAGCGATAAGCTCGACATTACAGAAGGCTCACAGCAATCTCTGCCACCACGTACCTCACGATTGGCGTTTTCTGCAGATGGGTCCGTTCTGGCTACGTCCATCTCTTGGGATTTCGAAGAAGATGCTGGCGTGACTCATCTAATTGACGCCCGTAGCGCGGTAATTCGACGATCGTTGACCGAGATTGACGTGACGGCTCTCTCCGGTCTTGGATTCGTCGGACAGTACTTGGTTGTTGTTGCAGACGCTATTACTGTGTGGAACATGGTTTCCGACCAGCTCGCATACAGCGTCTCAATCGACACCCCCGGCCTCGATCGCCTGGAGCGCATACCTCTGATTCGCCTGGCCACCAATGAAGCGGACGGTACGTTTGCCGTGGCCTTGCCTCGACTTGAGAAGAGCGAATCGTCGACCTCCAAGATTAAGAAGGCATCATCCAAGGTCTTCATCTACAACCCAGAGCAGCAAAAGGCAGTATGGAAAGATACATTCACGCCAATCACCATGGCTCTTGCATCTCGGAGAAGCGAGAGCGGTTACATTGTTCTCGATTCGCGGTCCTGCCTCAAGACCATCAGCCCCAGCGCCGGTCCCCTACAACTCCCTACCCCACCACCAGAGGAGCACCGCATCGCCTACCCAGCAGAAGACGGCGAACAAGCGGAAGAGCCCGAGAGGCCTCTGGCGAACCTGTTGGCTTCAGAGGACCTCACCCAGGATATTGAGCAGGACGAGCATACATTCAACATGCAGGACCTGCAGAACGTGCTTCATGATGGCTCTGTACCGCCTCCGCCTCAAGGGCTATTCACGAATATTCTGGCATTGATCGGTGGAAAGTCGCAAAAAGCAACAGCATAGGAGCTGTACTCATGTATTTGGAGCACGATGCACATTTTTTCTTTTTCCTTCTATGTAGGATACAATGACATTAGCGTGTTTACGCATTTCGTTCAATCATGATTCAAACTACTTTTCTTTCCTTTCTATTTTTTCCTAGAACTGGGGTTTGCCGTGCTATGATATACTGCCCGAGGCTTCCAGGCAATGAGCTGTCCAAGGTACCAACCGCGAAAGAAGATGCCAAAAGGAATCTTTTTCCAGTGCATTCCGTCTGGTGCGTACAATGCAACGAAGACGTTTGCGCATTCTGCTCAAGTAGTCATGGCTGCGCAAAAGCGCTCGGCACTCGAAGCAAACACTTGGGAAACCTTCGCATGGCTTTACTATCCAACGAGATTATGCAATTGCATCTTACACACCCTTATACATATTCTATGCCCCCAGAGCTCCCTAGTAGTTTCGGTGTTCCTCTCCGTCCTCCCCAACCACCTACGAACCTCGGCGCGGTCCCAAGATTCCAAATGCGGGGCCTACGACCGCTCCTCACCGCCCCCCATCGACCCACCCGGCCATCCCCCACTCGTTCTGGCATCAGGACTAGCAGCCTCAAACCTCAACCGCTCCCTAAGTCCACAACGTACCGTGAATATATTATTAAACATTGTGAAATTTGTCATCAAAGTAATACGCCCGCTTGGCTTAGTGGTACAGCGTCGCACTCGTATACCATTCTACGAAATGCGAAGATCCGCGGTTCGATTCCGCGAGTGGGCACGGCTTAGACATGTGGTCACAACAATGGGTTGTTGTAATCATCATTTTTGTGTACCGAAATTTTTTGAGGTTTGTATCAAAGTTACAAACTCCGTCTTTTTTTTTCTCGGTGTAGGCTTTTGAGGGTCGTGGGGGGATGGCTTGCTACTTGCTTTTTTTGTGCGCGCTTGTATGGTGGAGTACTTGATTCTCTATGAAGGGAACTGCAGACGACGATGCAAAGAGATGCAGAGAGTCATGGTCTGTAGTGGGTCTGTTTCTGGATGAGTCAACGGTTCGTTTGCTTCTTTTTCTTCGTATTTTGCGCCATTGAACACGTGCACGAGGTTAGTATTGTGGGACGGACTATTGAATGGAACAGCACATGGAAGCAATCGGGTTCTAGACGAAAGGAAGCGTTGCTTCTACGCTGACCCGGACAAGAACACGCTAGGAGGAAGGGGGGGGGGGGGGGGGAAAGGAGAGAGAATGTTGACAAGATGGTGCGGCCGCGGCTAAACCTACCAAGTCAACGGCCCGCAGACCACATGGCGAGCGATGACAGCAGACGGGTCTTGAGCGTTGCTAGGGCTGATGGGCGACGTGATTGGTGGTAGATAGTGCTCGAGCGTAGGTTTAAGTTCCGCAGAAGCGAAGAAAGTATGCGACTGCGTCATCATGAGGGGTGTTGAGGAAGTGGACAAGTATAGAAGAAGAAAAGAAGGTCAAAAGTAATGAATGAATAAATTTATCGTCAAGTTAAGCCTTTTGACAGCGAAATCAGATAAGACTATCGTCAATCAATCAATCAGCCACAAAAAGTATACACATCCAATCTTTTCCTAGGTCAAAAAGCGCTAGCAAAGATTCCAAGAATAAAAAGCAAAAACGTCTTTCCTTCCCCAATGGTTCACGCCCAGTCGTTCGTTCAACAATAATTCCCCTCTCCTTCCCTTCCTTTCTGTCTCTCGTCTTCCGCTCTTTCCCTCTCTCTCTCTCTCTCTCGCGTCTCAAGAAAACTCCGTTTTCAACATGCCATCGCTCGTCTAGCCCTCACATGCTGCCACTTCCCCCCCGCCGTTTTTGACCATCGCTATACTGGTATCGACTGGGGTATCGTTGTAATTGTGTTGCAAATGTATGCAAACTAAACAGAGAAAGAAAAATTAAAAAGTTCCTGAAGCCACGAAATGAAAAACTCCGTCGTCAAAAGTCTGTGGCCTCAGTTGCTTGTGTGTCGTGAAAGGTATGGATACGCGTAAGGAAAGTAAAAACGATCAAGGGCATTACAAAAGAAAAAAACTTGGAGATCCCGTTAGAAATGTTTCGTGGACATGCTGTCCTTCTTCCTCTTCCTCTTCTTCTTCCTCCTCGATCAATTCCCCCATCTTCTCGTACCGATATATGTGTTTTGTGTTTGTCTTGTTTGGCGTTTACCATCGTGTCGACTTGACCTGCTTGGGCTCTTCGGCTTTTCCTATGTTCTTGAACATGTCGTCGGCGCCCAGACTCAGGGCGTCTTCGTTGACACCAAAAGAGCTCAGACCAGGCAGGGCTGGAGGCGGGGGACCCTTTGCTTTGGGCGCCGGGGCCGGGGCCGGGGCGGGCTGTGGTTGCGAGACGGTGCGACCGTTTGCGTAGGCCGTCGAGTCGACGTGTCCTTCAGGCACAGAGCCGACGGTAAACGTCTTCCTCTTGCCGAACCAGCTGCCGCTTTTCCTTCTGTTCAGGCTGGGTGCTTGGCTGTTTATTGTGGCAGGCGAGCCCGGGCGGTCAGACTTGAGACTGTCGGCGGAAGATTGCATGCGGATGCCGAGGAACTTGCGGACAGAGGCAGGGCGCTTGTTGGAGGGACTTGTGGGCGACATGGTGCTGGTGGCATCGCTGGTGCGGGTCTGGTGCAGGTGCGCGTCGGCCGTCGAATCCTCGGAATGCTTGCCCGTCGGAGGCGATGCCTCTCGCTGCGGCGGGAAGCCTGGCGACTTGGGCGTCGGGTGCGACGAGAGCGGCCCTTGACCAGGCGTGGGCGGGCGAGGGCTCTCGGGCGGGCTGTCGGGCGGCGCGGGTATCGAGGTGCCCTCGGTGAGCGAGAAGTTGATGGGCGATAGCGTCAGCGGCTTGAAGGAGAACTTGCTGGACGGCATGATGGCGAGGCGCGTTGGAAGGGCAGAGTGGGAGTGGTGGAGGTGCGGGTTAAATTGAGTAGAGAGGGACCGGAATTGGTCTGTTGTAATGGCAATTGAAATGCTGAGGTTGAACGCGCAAGCAGCAGGTGAGACGTCTGCGCACTATGGCAAAAGCCGCAGGTGGGTGGAAGCTTCAGGAGGTGCGTTGGTGAAGCGGAGGAACGTGACAGGGTTTACACGACCGGGGCAGGGATCAATTACTTGCACAACACGAGAGAGGCGCAGTGCACGCGAGGGACCGCCAGGAATGCCTCCCGTTTTCCACGCGCCAAAACCTGTCCGGCAACGACGACAACATGGAATCAAATATACGTGCACAACTCTGGCGGCACAGCACGCGGTGAAAAGCGTGCCTGGTGTGCTTACCCGCGACGCTGCATGGCCGGCCGCAGTCTAGCGTGATATGCCGTACCAGAATTCGCAGTGGGGCGGTTGGCCAGAGTCAGGGTCAAGGCTGCATGCAAAAGACAAGAGCCGTTCCGAGCGGGCACATCGTACATGTCGCCATCAGCTCCGCATATCGATTTGAACCCGTTCGTTATCGAGGATCTTCGGTCGCCTAGTCTGTGTGTAAAAAAAGCTCACAGTTTCCACTTTGTAGCAGACGTGCGTTGCAGCCAAATGTATTGCCAAAACTCTATCTCGCCACACTACGGCCCCCCCGCCCGCCCTTACCTCGGACCAATCCTGGTGCCATGTTATCTTGTCTTGCGCTGGTGAATCTCGTCCAACTCTGTGATCTCGTCTAGCAGCTGGCACGTCTCTAGCGGGTTCGCTATCCACGCCGTAGTACACGCCAACCGAGCCTTGAAGTCATTTGCGCCTGCGCTCAAAAACTGATCGCCAACGTGTAGCGTCTTGCTACCTTCAATTCCACCAAAGATGCGCTGGCACGCGAGAACGCCCCATGACTTGTCGCCAATGTCGACAAATACATCATTGCCACCTAGTCCCACGTCAGTACTGGCCTAGCAGGCTCGGGTCTTGCAACATACCGTTGAAGGCGCAGAACGGCAGACGCTGGCCGACTTCCGATATTTCCTAGTATTGCCAGTCAGCATCAAGCGCTATACCTATCTTCCAGCTACATACCAGTATCTTCTGGATGATCAAGACCGTCTCCTCCAGTGTCTCTCGGCAGAACTTGTATCCAGCCTTGGGAACGATGCCCACCGCCCTCTCCTTCCGCACAACGTTCGCTTCCATCCGGAAGTTTCTAATCGTGTCCCTCAGAGAGGCCTCTGCTAGATCGAGCAGATCCTTGATATCCGACTCGTGCCACGACAGCATCTCCTTCAGCAGCCACTCTTCTCTTGGTACCAGGCGCAGCAGAACCGGGCTGTTTTCATCAAACTTGAAGCAAAAGTTGCTCTCACCGCCCATGATGAGGAGATTCTGTCGAACCTCCCGCGGAAGATCAGATGCTTGGATGGCGTCCAGAAGTCCGTGGAGCCTTCCATAGTATGGCTTCGCCTCTGTGTACCCTGCGGCTGTGACGATGCCGATCTTGGATCCACGCTGCATGAGCTGCAATATTTTGGGAATGATTGGGTTGTCAGGTTCTAGGTCTTTTCCGTCATCATACAATGTGACATCTCCGTCAAACGTGACTAGTTCCAGTGGGCCACTGCGAATGAGACTCATGACCTGGGCCGTGTTGAGGACCAGGCGGACGTCGTTGAAAGAAGGAGGAACAAAGCGACGGTGACTGATGAAGCGCCGCTGGTCTTGCCATATGAATGCATCATGCAGGGCTAGTGGAGTGAAGAAGTTTGCTACCGACGGAACCAGAAGTTTGAGTTTCGATCTGTCTGGCTTGCCATCTTTCTGGTGTTGAACTACAGTGCATCAGTATGAAAGCAGCCCAATACGTCTTCAATCAGACCCGGATACTTTAGTGACTCACTGTGATCATTGATTATCTCCTCGACGTCACGCATAATCTCAGCATACCGCCGTTGAGCGATGTTGGCTTGGTGCTCAATCGATTCACCGTTCGGGTCAAAAACGGCCGTGGGATGTGAATGCAGCACAAAGGGGACGGCTAGAAGACCCTGGAATGACTTGAGAACTTGAAACTTGTGAACTAGGGGGGCACAAGAGATGGTACCTTGATCCACTCTATCTGAGATGACTGTTAGCTCGAGTGGATGCTTTTACATGGCAAGGCACTCACGAGCTGATCCCTTCGATGGGTCTTGAAAGACTGTCAGCGGCTCATTCTTCTATATTACGGCAGCTACATTCTATACACACCTTGAGAGCATCTACACACAGACGTCATACAGTCAGCGTGCCGGTCTTTACGCAGGCATCTTCATGGCGGTGAAGTGAACGGGTGCTTACATTCTACGCGGTATCTTGTGGTCATTGTTGCAATTGTTCAGTCAGTGAAAGGAAAGAGAGAAGAGCGAAAGAGACCATGTGCAGTGAGTTGTCATTGTGTTCAAGGTGGCTGTCCGAGCTTATCGGAGTCCGCCGCTAGTGGCTGGAGAGGGAAGGGGCCATGCACATGTGACCGGTGGGCTACGGCATCCCCGCACAAAGAGACAGTTACCGAAATACTGGTGAGGACCAGTCACGCAATGGGTGACGATTATGTAGCAGTCAACCGTATGCCATGGATGCACCGCGAAAACCCCGTGGCTCCATGCAGGTCCTCAGAAGGTACAATCGATAAGCGGGGATCTACCAACGGCCGCTAGGCCTACTGAGCCCTGGAGAGCTCCGACCTTTATGCAAGGGCCCACCCATCGCGCCGGACAAACCGCTGAACCTCGCCTCCAACAAACCTCGTTTCGCGCCGCGAGAATTGCTGCAGCCATGGATTCACTGA